GAAGGAAGGAAGGAAGGAAGGAAGGAAGGAAGGAAGGAAGGAAGGAAGGAAGGAAAGAAGGGAGACTGACTACATTAGTCACTTATCTAGAAAGAGCTGAGTCGATGGTGTGTTCATACACAAACCTTCCTTAGATCTACAAACACTGAGTTGCCACAGTAACTTCCCCATCATGTGACAAGTATTAGTCTAAATGAAAGCAAGCATGGTGGGGCCCAGGAGCACTTTCCTGCAATTGCAGCTACAAGATAGGATGGGATGAGGGGATCACAAACCCAAGGACACCTACACTACAAGGTGCATTCAAGACCAGATCAGGAAGTTTAGCCAGACTTTTTGTCTCAAAACAAAAAAGCAAAAAGAGGGTCAGGGATGTGGCACAGTTATAGAGCACTCACCTAGCATGTGTAAGACTATGGGTTCAATCCCCAGTACAGCAAGAAAAAAAAAAAAAGGAGGTATACATGGCACATGGTATTTTTTTTTAATTTGTTTTATGTGTTTGAATGTTTTGCCTGCATGTATGTATGTGTACCATATGTCCATAGACGTCAGAAGGTTTTGGCTCCCGTGGAACTGAAGGTGGAGATGGTGTGAGCCACCATGCCTTTGCTAGGTACGGAACCAGGTCCTCTGCAACAGCAAACAGGGCTCTTAACCATCCCCCCAGCCCTGCACATGGTATTTTTAGTCTTCTCTTTTTTTTGATGGACAAAATACCTTTTTATACGGCTTCAGAGGTAATCATTTACAAGATCACCCGACAAGACCAGTAAAACCCGAAATGGGTAAGACAATAAAAACAATAATTATACATGTAAAAATATTACAAAACAGGGGCTGCTTCCAGGCTGGCCAGGATGCGGCTCCCAGGGCCTGCCTTTGATTTCACCCCTCTTGCCTCACACCAGTGGACCATGACCACAGGCCTGGCAAGGCTCCTGTGCGGATGACTAGATGCCCAAAGCATGTGCTGATTTGTGGTGTGCCCATGTAAGAAGTCAGTAAACTGAAGGAAAACCCCAAAATTTAAAACGAAAGTGAAGAAATGCACTGAATATAAACAAACTATAATCAACAAAGTCTAGCACCCCCCCCCCCAAAAAAAAGACATTCTGGAAAAAAAATCATAAAAAGCCTAGAAGTGAGTAGAACTCTTTATTTCTTCTTTCACGCCATCTGACATGGCTTTGGAAACTACTTTTTTTCCCTGTTTCATGCATGTGTGATGTGCATGTATGTTCATATCTGTGAGCACACATGTCTACGTGAGTGTGACATGCATGCGTGTTCATGTGTGTAAACATACGTGTGTATCAGAGCGTGGAGACCTGAAGATGACTCTGGGAGTTGTTTCCTATGTAACTCCACCTTCTACGTTGAGGCAAGGTCTTTCAGTTGAATCCACAGCTCACCAACAGTCTAGCTAACAGGTTCGCTCGGGGGACCTTGTCTCTGCCCCTCCCGGCACTGGAATCACACACACCCCACCCCTTTACATGAGTTCTGCGGATCGGACTGACCTCATGGCTGCTGCTTGCAAGGCAGCTGCTTTAAAAGCTGAGCCATCTCGCCAGCCTGAGAAAAATGAATGTTAATAATCAGACTCACTGGATGACAGTCAAATATTAAGTGGTGTAAGACTAATTAACAGGGACAAAGATGTGATGAATGGGAAGTAGACCAGCAAAAATATTGTGCTGGAGAGACAGAGTGCTTTGTTTGGAGAAAACTTGAGGATTTCTATGTGATACAAGTAGATTATCAAAGGGTGACAAAAATGCCCCAGGAGACCAGGCCTATATCCCAGACCCCTCCGAAGGCTGAAGCACAAAGAACACAAGGTCAAGGCCCGCCTGGCTAAGTTAGTGAGACATAAGTAAAAAGGAGTCTGAGGATACAGCTCGGTCGAGAAGAGCTTAATGGGCATGTGTGAAACCTAGTCCCAGTCCTGGGGTAAGGGGCTAAACCTTTCATGGTGTCCATGAGCTCAAAAGTAACAAAAGGTTATCTGTCTTTCTGGCCTTTTTCTCTATAAAGTATGAATGAATAGAGGGCTCCATGGTACCCCACCATTCTAAAGGCCACAGGGCATGCACATCTGTTTTCTGGTGGTTTGAGTTCTAAAACACATCTTCTAATACATGACTTCTAATACAGATGCATTGCCCAAATAAACAAAAGCTCAGCTCTTCCAAGTTCTCAATCTTCAAAAGTAAATGGGGCCTAAGACTAAAAATTTGAAATGTACTAGCTCACAAAATCCATGAAAAAGGGGAGGTGCGTGTGGTGCTGCTGAAAAACCACATGTGTACGTATGTGTGTGTGCATGTGTGTGTGTGTGTGTGTGTGTCTGTCTGTCTGTGTGTGTTGGAGTCTTGTTATGTAGTTCAGGTGGGCCTTGAACTTTCGATCAGCCTGCCTCAGCCTCCCTGAAAGCTGTGATTGTAGGCATGCTCCACCACAACTAACCCAACCATACAGTTTGCAAAAGCCTCCAGAATCCCAGCCCATGATGAGATGATGGCGAAATCCACCACAGCACCCCGCTACAGCACCCTTCTGGGTGAACGAGGGTGCCAGGCTTTTCCTGTGGTCGCGCCTCCACTTGCCTAAGCTGGGCCAACTTAAATAGCAACCCTGGCAGCAGAAGGGCACACATTTGCATGAAAACAATCCTGGGCTGGTGAGTGGCCCAGCGAGCGGTGTGCTTTAACCCCAAAGGCCCTAAGTTCATCGAAGAGGAAAGTTCAGCCAGATCAGAGAGGAAGAAACCAAAGATGTGTTTTGCAGTTCCCTCTGTGATACCGAGGAAAGGACCGATGCAAACCAAACTTCTTTATGCTACAAACTTGAGGAATTCCCATGTGGGTGCTTTCCCAACTACACACATGACGCCTGTGGAGGCGTGAGTGAAATCCCACAACACAAGCGGAAGCGGGGGAGCTCCTGCGGCTGGGTGCGGCCTCTGCAAAGAGAGGAAGCTGTTTCACACATCCTCAAAACTCTGAGCGCTGAGTGTTTTTACAGAGGATAAGAATCAAATGCAGCTCCACGTTTTTGAGCTCTCAAAGCATCCTTTCTATACTTTTCACAGTGCAACATAGCCATTCCCAAACGCTCCAAAACATGTAACTTATTCTCCTTGCTGGACCACAAATGTCTTGGAGGGAGGAAGTCTTGGTGTCTTTCTTTTTTTTTTTTTCTCTCTCTTGGACTACAAGAGTTCCTTGTACACAGATTTAAAAGTACTTGGTGGGGGAAATTTTAAAAAGCCGGGCAGCGGTGGTACATACCTTTAATCACAGCGTGGGGGCAGGTGGATCTCTGTGAGTTCAAGGCTAGCCTGGTCCACAGAGCTAGTTCCAGGGTAGCCAACAAACAGAGAAACCATGTCTCAAAACAAAACAAAACACACACACACAAAAGTACATGGTGAAGAAGTAGGAAGCTACTGCTCACAAACAGCCCCCTGTAAAACACAACCTGAGCCCCTCACCAACCCTAGGTTTAGGAATGGCCCAAATAACAGCTGGTACTTACTGCAGGGTCTGATAATGACATTCCAGAAAAGGAAAGGCCTGGGTCGTACCGGCTTGCTTTGAAAAGACCCAGGAAATCCGTATCAGTGCTCCCAGAGTTGGGCAGGTTTGACTTAGGAACGCTTCCGACAAGGTTAGGCTTTTCCATGTCATCCTTGGTCTTCAGCTTGGGTAAGTCAGAAAGTTTGGTTTCTGGCAAGTGCAGGTTGCTCCGAGAATTCAGATCATCCTTGGTTTCCTCTTTCGGTGGATACTTTTCCATGTGGCCTGGACTTTTCAAACCCAGAGGAGATGTATTGGAGGAGTTGAAATTGAAGACCTTTAAGGAGTTGTGGGGTGCAAGATGTGGCTGTTCTCTGTCTGAGCCACAGGGCGGGTCACCCTCCTTCCTGGGCTGTACCGCTGAGGGCTGAGATGCGGAGCTGTTCTGAGAAGTGCTGAAAGATGTGCTCATAGTGTTGACGGACGTCACAGACGGGGAAAAGATCTTGTCTTGCGGCAGAGAAGAGAGCATGCTTGAGAAAAGGGCGCTTTTTTCTAGCCGTGACCTCTTCACTCCACCGTTGGTGATGTCCCGGTTCTCTTTGTCATTTACTTCTGAAGGTGCCTGAGGTTCACTTTTCCCATTCGTGCTGGCGTGCAAGGACTTGAAGAGGATGCTCTGTTCGGTAGATGCACGTTTCGCTCTCAGTTTGGACATAGGATCGTGGTTCTGCAACAAGTGCGAGGCAGGTGAGATCTCTGGCTGGCTTTCCTTCTTCCCCAAACCAATGGTAAAAACGTTGGGATCAAACACCTTTTCTAAAGTGTCCTCATGAATGGGAGGCATGGCGAAGTGAGGGGCTGGGGAGTTGGGGACCCTGGGCTTCTTTTTTTTCTGGGGCACACATATGGCACTGTCCATGCTTTTAATAATTTCAGTGAATTTTTCCATATCAGAAGAAGAATCAAAGACACTATCCTCGCTATTAGCAGAAACGTTCAGAAGACTGGTTGGGGTATTGGGGCAGGTCACATTTTGACCTGGCCTCTGGGGACTTTCTGGATGACTTTTGCTGCTGGGAGAGGGGACAGGGCTGAACTCGGCTGTCAGGGTTGTCCCACTGCTCTGACTTTGAGCCTGGACCGGCAGAACCTTCTCGGGTCCCAGCTGTACGACCTGTGGGTGAGACTGTGCCACACGCTCCTCTCTGCATTGAGTGTGCTCAGGTGATGTGCCGGCTACGGCCTCTTGCTGCGGAGCACAGGTGGCAACAGAAACCACTTCAAACTCACTATTGTGGCAGCTTGGCAGCTGCACCTCTCTAACCTCAGAGCTTTCTGAGATGACTTGAGAGCTCACATCCCGAGGGCTCTCCACAGGAAGCACAAAGGACCGGACCTGGACAAGAACCTTGGACGGGCACTCGTTCCTCACAGTCTCTGGGCTGTGCTCTGGGGTTGAAGGAGGGCTTGCTTCGCCCTGTCCCTGTCTGGAGACTGGTATTTTCTCAGTGTGAGGAGACACAGGCGAAACACATCCATTGTGGCTTTCTGGCACTTCTACATCAGTGCACGGAACACAGCGGATGGGAACTTGAGCACAGCCATCTTGGAGAGCGTCCACAGGAATGGGTGCAGAAGGCGGCTGAGAAGACTCCCTGGATGACTCAGATGCAGGCTGTGAGTCAGAAAATGCCCCCTGTGGCTTTGAAGGAGACTCTCTGGCATCACAGATGACAGGGACGTCCCGTGTGGTAGCACTCATGCTGTCAAGGATGAGGCTTTTGCTGTCAGCAGCCTCTGAGAGCTCTCCTGAGTTCTTGGGGTCCTTCCCAGGAGCCAGAGCAGTGGGCACTGGCTGTGGACAGGCAGCATCTGTTTGCACATCTGGCTTATCACTTTGATCAGGCTCCGGGCAGAGGACCTGGTCCTCTGCAGTGGGCTCTCCTCCCCCTCCTTGGGCTGCTGGAAGAATCTCTTCTCTGGGAATAGGGCCCTCGGAGCCTTTGGCTTCTGCAGATGGTTCCTTGGCCAGTAGGCCATTCTGGTGGCTGTTTGACAAGGCTTTCTTCTCAGGTTGCTCCATTTCTTTGGCTTTTTTGGCTAAGTTCAGCTTAGCTCTCCCAACAAATGTTTTACTAGAGGGAGGATTGTTCCTTGTGCTACGGACCTCCGGGTGTCTGGGGCTACTGTTAGCCCGCTTGTTTTCAAACAAGGAGATTTTGTTGGCAGTGTTTCCCTTATGAACTGGCTGGCTGAACGGATTGTGCTCATTTCCCAAACTCTCAGGATTCTTCGGGGTTTTCAGATTTAGTTCCACATGTTTGGGTCTGGCAGGGCTGCAAGAAAAAAGCAACAGGGCCGTTAGCAGCCTGGCATTAAGTGAACATACAAACCAGTTCACAAAAGACTGCAGAGTCCGTGTCCTCCCACCGTACATTTGCTTTTCCGTGAAACTTCTTAAACAATCCTACAAACACCAGCTAAGTATTTTTAATGGATATCTCACCTGTGTATGACAAAAGAGATTATAAATCTAAGAAACCATTAATTTACCAAGTATTAATATGCAGCCACAGTGACTGGCCGCTAGAAATGGAAGACATTACAAGGTAGAAGGAACTTTAAAACAATTTAAATATTTAATGCATTCCTATATTTTCAATATTCAGATTAATTTCCCAGACATTAATTATGTATTTTTATTTTATTATACTGTTTTGGTCACCTTTAGTTTTTTGGGGTAAGGAGTCATGTGGTTCAGGCTAGGCTTGACCTCACTGCTCAGCTGAAGATGGCCTCGAGTTCCTGAGCCTCCTGCCTCTACCTCCCAAGGTTATAGTCATGAGCCACAATGCTCAACCTTTCAACAGCTTTTTAAGAACTATCTTGGAGGTGGAGAGAAGAGATGGCTCAGCAGTTAAGAGCACTGACTCTTAACTAATTCCTAGCACCCACATGGCAACTCAAAACCAACTGTAACTCCAATTCAAGGGAAAATCCAACTCCCTCTTCTGGCCTCTGTGGGCACTGCATATATGTAAACCCATGCAGGCAAAACACCCACACACATAAAATTAAATTGATATTTTGAAAATAAAAAATAAATATATAAACAGTCACAATCTCATGAAGCTGTTGCTCATGAAAAACTATTTTATAACAGGTGATAAGACATTTTCATCTAGCATTGCCTCTTAGGAGATTTTATTTCTGCCATCCATCCCACATAAAATTTCTCTGATGTGTGTGTGTTTAGTATCTGAAATTTGTAAAGTGCATATGCATGTTTTTATTGTGTGTGTGTGTGCATGTGTGAAGTCAGAGGACAAGCGTGGGTGTCAAGCCTCTCTACCTTGATGAGACAGCCTCTTGGTGTTCAGCACTACAGGCCCAGGCTATTAGGCCTGGGAGCCTGCAGGTCTTTTCCTGGCTCTATCTTCCATCTCATACTACAGGAATGCTGGAATTACAGACAGACAGGCCCATGACCACCTCCTCTTCCATGGGTCTCTGGTCCTCATACTGTATCCACTGAGCTGTCTCTCTGGACCCGGAAAGTGTTTTTAAATCATTCATAACCCTGCTGCTCCATCAACATTCTGCCTCCTTCCCAGTGGCTTCATGTGCATAAATATTTTACTAGAATGAAAGCTGCTGTGTTCACAGGGCCTGGCCGCTCGCCTTTGCTAAGAAGAAAGAATGAGTTAACATCACAACTTCCAGGTTCCTGACAGTTTTTTCTTGAAAAGTTGGTTTTTGTTTTTTTTTTTTAATGTTTGTGTAAAATCCCATCATATGGCTATCCCATAATTTGTTTATTGATTTTGTTAATGCAATGTCTTGGGCAAAGCCTCCCTGCTCGCTCGCTTTTCCTAGGTCAAAACAATGCTTTTGACTGTGCACAGTATGTTCTTCCATACAGACAAAATGTGTTGTGTTGGCGTATGCTGGCCCTGGCCCCAGCCCAGGCCCTCACACTAATATCTGTGTGAATTAGCCAAATTATTTCACATCTCTGGACTATTATTCTCTTTTGTACCTGTAATTTAAAAGGTAACAAACACAAAGCAAAGCACCTAGATAATTTAGAACAGAATTATTTTTATTTCACCCGAAACTTACAGTTAAGGGGATTTTTGGAAGTCCCCTTGAAGGCTTACTCTTAGGGCCAAAAGAAGCTGCGGGATCAGGAGGCTCCCCTGGCTGGGCTGCTTTCTGACAGGCCCTACCACTTTTCTAGTTTATGAACCTTTTTATATAAACGTTTCTGGTGGCAGGTAGAAGAGCTTGCCAGTTTGGAGCTAAATGAAAACCACTGTTTGCCAAGCACTTGAGAAGTTATTTAGTTTGTTTTACTGCATGTACAACTCTGTATGTTCTATTCTAAAGAGAGAGAGAGCTGGGGGGGGAGGGTAGAGAAGGTAGGTGACTCTCCTGAGGTCACATAGCTAGCGAATGACAGGGCTCTAAGTCTCAGTGGCTATATTATACCATAGTATCCTGCTTCCCCATCAGGGGTCAGACTAGACTGGCTTGAATGAGGCCCTCAGCTGCTTTTCTTCATATCACTGGGCTGAGGGGGAGGGGATGGGGGAGGGGATGGGAGGTGAAAGCCTGGAGGTGGGGTGGGTGTTCGGTGAGTTATCAAGTCCATCCAAAAAGGTAAGCAGACTTCAGAGGTAAAAGTCCCGGAAATCCCAAGCTCTCCAGCATCACACATCTCAGAACCCCAAGAAGATACAGCCTGCTGAGCCCCCAGAGGGATGAAATGAGAATCAGGTTAGATATCTGAGTTTGATATATGTTCAAAAATTTCTCTAGACATTGTTTTCTTCATTATCTCCATAAATACCCAGGTTTCCTTATTGCAGGCTCATATCTTAATGTTAAAAGCAAATTCAAATCCAGACTTGGTGGCCACTGCCTATAATCCTGAGGCAGGAGTTACCGGCAGCAGGACCAGGAAGGAGTTCAAGGTCACCCTGGGCAACCAGAGTGAGAGTTGGAGGCCAGCTATATGGGCTCTATGAGACCCTGTCTCAAAAAAAACAAAAACAGAAGAGTAAGCTTCAGGATTAAAGTCTAAGCCAGCGAGATGAGAAGAAACACGGGTTTACAAATGCTGTAGTAATCAATGAGCAAAGCCGACAGTACGGGAAATACTAAAAAAAAAAAAAAAAAAAAAAAAAAAAAAAATATATATATATATATATATATATATGACCCGCCAGCACAAGGAAGAGGACTGAAGTCGGCATCAAAGTGCATCTCAGGCTATGAGAGGGAAGTACTGCCGGTGAGCCCACAGCTGCTCATTAAAGATTTACACCAGATCAAAATACCTTTTACAGCCGAACTCTCTACCATTAAGTTGTGCTACCAAGAGTCACTGCAATTAACCCCGTTCGGGCTGATTAAAAGGAAGGCTCCTGTAATTCATGTTGTAATGCCTTCATTACGAGGTGAGAGGGAGTCTAAGGGGCCAAAGCGACACTGTAAAAGGAAGTGCCTCCTGCTTTAAAACACTCCTTTATGAAGTTCAGCATTTGGTAAAGAACGTGAAGAAGTCATTTTTCTAACAGGACTAAGCCACCATTTTCCAGGTGATACTGTCTTTTCTTTTCTTTCTTTCTTTCCAAGCAAGACTAACATCTGTAATCCTGTCATTTGGGAGAGTAAAGCAGAAGAATGGCCTTGAATTCCACGACGGCCTTGGCTACATAGTGAGTGAGGGGCAACTCTGGGCTACAGGGTGAGACCATCAAAACAAACAAAACAAAACACTAAACAGCAGTCTGTCAATATCTTTGTCTAAAATCCAGCCATAACGGGACTAAATCACCTGAAAGCCCCTGTCAGACTAACAGAAATAGGCCAAAGAGCTAGATAAAATTCTTAATTTTCCACTTCAATAGTTTGCCAGTTCATCATGTGTAAGGCCTTGTATAAAAAAGAAAGTTAAATAAGACGGGTGGACGAGTGGTAAAGATTAAAAATGACCAGTAGTGAGAAAGAAAAAAAAAAAAAAGACACTTGTCTCAGTTCTAGTAACCTGTAGACCCAAAGAAGAGTTCCATTGTAAGATTCCTTTCCTGAACTTGTCCAAGGATCCCTTAACAGGGGACATTTCAGGGTGTCCGAGGCTGCCTCCTGATTGGGTGACAGGTGGAGCTACCGGCAGGCAGCGTCCTGCTGTGTTTCCCTTAGCAGGCTTCTGCGCTAGGTCACACTGTCTTCCACAAATAATGAGCATCATTCACCCAGATTATTTCCTGACGCTACCGTTAGAGAATAAATAGCTGATTGTGTCAAAGGCCTCCACGCTGCCAGCTGGTGAGGTAGTCCAACGTTATTCATTAAGCACATTTTTCCTCCTGGCTTCCAAACAGGCGTGTTTCAGAGCTTACTTCTCTCAAGAAACCGAATAGAATGAAACCATTCAGTTAAAAAATGATAATGCCACCAACGACGAGCCTTTTCGTCAGGGTACGAATCAGTGTAGGGAAAACTTGAGTACTCAGTAACGTTGACCTGCTGGGCGGAGTGGGGAGCCAGAGCTCAGTTCTATAGAGAGCCCTCCCCTAGCCACACAAATCAGTACCCATCGAAACCACAAGGCCAGCCCCCCCCCCCCCCCCCCCGAAACCAGTGACTTCTTGCCCTGTTACTTCCAGAGCCCTTAACAACGGCAAAATCCACTTGGTCTTTTTAATTCAATTTGTGTGCTTCTTATTACCACAAAGGGGACATAGCCGTTCAGGGTAACAGACCGAATCACAGGTGTGGGTCATCTCCCCGCCACAGCACACAGAACAAAGGGCGCTCAATAAATACTTGCGAAATCGCTAAACCTAAGAGCAGCTGAGTCTTGTTGTTTTGCGTCCTTCCACTTAGGTAATTTTCCAATAATAACAGCGACCGTCCTAATAACCGAAAAGTCATTTCCAGCCTCCAAACCAAAACTACCAAAGGGCTCCCTAAATCGCCAGAAGTGGGAATTTTTAGAGACCTCTTTTAAGCTTACTTTAGGACCACGACGTACTGACTCCATAAAACTTTTTCTCTTGAAGTCTCCCTTGTCAAAGCCACTGTGCCACACTCAAAATACCGCCGGCTCCCTGGGACTATCCAGATTGAATAAAGAATATAATTAGCTACATCAAGCCCTGAAGTCTTATCTCTGCTGTTTACATAAACACCGCGCCCTGAAGGCAATCTTATTTTTTGCATTCATTTAACTTAGATCTTATGTTAAAGCAGGAATCAGCCACAGAGGCTTGCCAAATGTGTCACACGCTAAGCCTTAGCTCTGCAAACAGCTTTCTCTCTTTGAAGTTTTCAACCGGAAAAATGTGTGTGTGTGTGTGTGTGTGTGTGTGTGTGTGTGTGTGTGTGTGTGTGTGTGTGGTGTGGTGTGTGTGTGTGTGTGTGTGTGTGTGTGTGTGTGTGTGTGTGTGTTATACAGACAACCCTACAACCCTGAGCAGCCCCCTGACCAGACAGACCCCGCAACTACTCACAGGGTCACTTTGGTGGTGACTGTCGACCTGCCCGCGCCGAAATGGTTCCTGGGCTTCAGGCCGTCGGCGTCAGACGCCCCCGTCCCCCTGCCCGGCTCTCGGCTGCGGCCCCCCTCGCCCCGGCCGTCGAAGTGGTGGGGCAGGGGCCCCCTCTTGTGCTCGGGCTTGATCTCGGGCAGCAGCGAGCTGCTCTTGACCGTGAGCTCGCGCGGGACGACGCGGCCCGCCTCCTCGCCGCCGTCCGCCGCGGCGGGCGCCCGCTTGGGTGGGGACTCCTTGGCGGAAGCGCGCGGGCAGGGGCTGGGCGCTGCGGGCACCGCCTCGGGGACCCGGCTGCGACCCTTCCGCTTGGTGGGGGACGCGGCGGGCGGCGGCTGCCGGCCGCGCTCCGGGTCCCCGCGAAGCTGCCCTCGGGGGCCGGCGGCGCTGGCCCTGGGCTCGGGGCCGGCGAGCGAGGCCGCGCCCCCGTCGGGAACGGCGGGCGCCGATTTCACTTTCCTTTCGGCCGGGCCGTTCCCGGCGGCCGCGTCTGGCGCCACCTCGTCGTCGAACACCGCGTCGTCCCTCGCCGGGCTCTCGGGCGCCGCGGCGTCCGCTCCCGGGGAGTCGGAGGAGGATTTCTGAGACTTCCTCCGCCTCCCCGAGCGGCGCCCGCTCGACCTCTTCTCCATGTCGTCCGAATCGTCGCCGTCGTCGGGCCCCGGAGCGCTGGGGACCGGCTCGTCCGCCCGGGCCACCTCGGTCTTGCTCAAGTAGATGTCCAAAGTGAGCACTTTGGCGGGCTGAGCGCGGTCGACGGGCCGGGCCGGGCCGCCGCTCTCCGCGCCCTGGGCGGGAGGCTCGCCTGGCGGGTCCGCGTCCTCGGGGTCCCCCGGAGAGTCGGCTCCAGCCCCTACGCCGGGGGCGTCGTCGGGGGCTTCCCCGGCTCCTCCCACCCGGCGCTCCTCGGGCGGCGACCCCGACACACCCCTCGCTGCCTCGAGTTGGAGGAGGCCGGCGCCTGGGAGCGGGTCCTCCCCCGGACGGCGCGCGCGCGTCTCTGCGCTCTCCTGCCCCGAGCAGTTCCCCGGCCAGGAATGCGGCTCCTTGGCAGCGGCGGTGGCATCTGGGAAGGTCTCTCCCTCTGCCTGCAGAGGTTCTAATTGGGCTGAATCACTGTCCTGGCGCTGCTGCACAACCCCTACGCCGCCGCCGGGGCCAGGTGACAGCTCGGCGTCGCAGGGGCTTGCCTGACCGCCGCTCTCCGCGGGCTGGCCCCCCGCCTCCGGCCGCGAATCCGCCTCGCTCGCCTCGGCTGCCTTGGCTTGGCTGTCCGGAGCCTTACTTTTCCCGCTCTCTGCTCCGGGGAGTTTAGCAGAGGCCGGTTTGCTGTTGGAGTTGGTGGGACTCTCCAGTCCGTTCCTGGACGAGTTCCTCCTCCTTCCAGCCGTAAAAAGGGTGCCGAGTTTTCCCAACACGGGCTTCCTCCTGGTGTCTTCCGGTGGTTGCGCTCTGGACTGGAAAATAGAAAAGAAACGGGGAGAGAAAACTTGAGAATCCGTTCTGTTCTCCTTTGGTAGGTTACAAAACTGCTGCGAACCAGCTTGGCAATAGACCAAGTTGGTAATGGAAAATGAAATGGCACAGTCAGGCGTGACGGCGCGCGACTGGGTGGTCTTTGTTATGTTCTAACAAAATTAACTTTTATATATATATATATATATATATATATATATATATATATATACATATGTGATATACATACATACATACATACATACATACATTTATAGGGGTTCATTAAGCAGCTCTGGCTCGCCTTGAACTCACAAAGATCCTCCTGCTTCTGCCCACTGAATGCTGGGGTTAAAGGCACCACCACATCTGCGTGGCTCAATTTCTTTTTCTTGGACTTTTGGTTGCGAGTTTAGTCTTTACCCGTTGAGCCATCTCTCCAGCCTTAAATTTTCTTCCCTTAAACACATTGTCGAAGCTACATCACTTGCAATAGTATTTCGTTATAAGTGTTTTTAACTCGGAAGGTCCAGTTCTCCCACGTACACAGTGAACAATTCCCAGTTCGCTCTTGACCTCTTTTCTTAATAAAAATGCAAATTTAAAGCAACCAGGCTTGACTCCGGGGTCCGCAGTTCGCCCCCCGAGGACCCCTGAGAGGAATTTTTATTGAACGTCTCCCTTTTCTGGGTACCTGTGGGGCGGGAGTGGCGCAAGGAAAAACCACTAGCGGCCTTCTGGAAAACTTCCATAAACACCTGGGCTCTGCTTTGGGCAAAGGTGTAGGAATGTCGCACCTGGCCCCGCCCAACGGGGGATGTGCTCACCCAATGGGTGCCCGCGTGCCCGCGTTCAAACTGCGCGGGCGGCGGAGCGCTGTCCCGCCTCCTCCGGGCTCAGCCTGCGGCTCGATCAAAGCGAGTCTTGGCTGGGCGGGGGAAGGTGGCGGACCCCACCTACGCAGGGAGGGAAGTGGAAAGCTAGCCTAGCAGACCCCGCCCGGAGGGCTACCGCCCTCTCCAGGGGTTGCTGCCCCCGGGAGCCAGCCTGCAGCGGATCCAAGAAAGCAAGGACCGCCCCCCCCCCGGGGTCCGCGACTGGGAAGACAGCAGCCTAAGGGGGGGGGGGGGGGCTGGAAAGAGGAGATAGGCGAGCGTGTGTGCGGGATCAGCCCGACTCACCCCAACCCCCTACCTAAGGACCGTCTCCTGAGAGCCAACCCTTCAACTCAAATCCCCGGTGAGATTCTAAGCCCGGAGGAGGCAGAAAACAGCCCCACCTTCTCTCCCGGGTGAGCGTTTGTGCAGGACCGCCCTGGTTCTCCACTCAGGGATTACTTGCCGCAATCTTAACGCAGTGCCTTTTACTTGAGCTACAGAAGCAGCCAAGGGAGTCCGGGGGTCGTGGGAAATGTAAGTGCCTGGGTGTAAAGGGCGTGCTATCAACAGAGCCAACGCGCTTCTGTGGAGAGGGACCTGGCCCCGCTGCAAGCCAGTGAGGTAATGTGTTACCTACAGCAGATGAGGGGAAAAGATGGACCAAAGGCTGAGAGCAAAACAGTGTGCTGGGGGCAGGGGCGATGGGGTCAGAATTCAAACCCATGCCCTCCAGTTCCAACTAGTGTTCCTCCTAGTCCATTACAGAGGACAGGAGAAAGAGACCCCAGGCTACCCAGACCCGCAGTCGGGACTCCAGGGTAAGCGCTGAGGAGATCAGATAGGTTCATAAGTGCTGCTTCTGTGTGAGAACCGGAGAGCTGCAGACAAAGGAGTTAGATAAAAGACTTAGCCGCCCAGATGTGATATTCTTACTTCTAAGATCTAACCAGAAGATTTGGCCTCACCCAGTTCTTCGATGCTTACAGAAATAATAGAATGAGAAGGCGATGTGGCTTAAAAACTACACTGAGGCATCCAGAGTTCCCAAGCAAGCAAACATTTGGGGGTTTTGTTGTTCTTGTGGTTTTTTACAAGTCAAAGGCATTACATGACATGATTTTCAATTATAATTCTCACCCATTGAGTCCTGCTTAGGTACTAGACACTCATAAAGAGATTTACATAGTTTTTCCAACAGCCCTTAAGATTTTTTTTTTTTAATATCCATATGCCGAGTCATGGACCCCTGTCCAAAGCCGCACAGATGGAAAGTCCTTCTGACTCTGCAAATAGAGCCCTTTGTTTCTGTTGCCCGGACAGGCCATGAAACAGCCTGAAAAGGTAGACAGGGAAGCAAACAGGCTTGAGCCTATTGGCTCAATTCCAGTCCCTGTCAGAATTAAACTAGTGTATGTATAGCTCCGTCCTTCCAGCAGTGTTGCAATCCGTTCTTTTCCCATGCTGCGAAGATGCCTGCTCAGCAGTCCTCTTTATTTAGTCTAGGTTTCCCTGCCCCCACCCCTCAATTCTAGTTGTAGCTGCTTTTTATAAAGCCAGCTGCTTGCTCTCCGACTTGACTATCAAGTATTTGTTCTCTTACACCCCCAGGTGGCAGCCTATTTTTCACTTGTTGGACAGTTCTGTTGGATTCTCTAGACTGTCGTAGTTTGGTTTGCTTATACTACTAGCACTTTCGTAACAACTTCATCCGAAAGAGCCCCAAACTGCAAACCCTTTTAAGAGCCTGTCAGCTGCTGAATGGATAAACAAATCGTGGTGTATCTCTGCGACACGACCCGTTGACATGCAACAATGGAAAGAGACAAGCTTTTGGCATGCAAAGGCATGGGCAGCTCTCAGGTGCATTATGCTGATTGGAGGTGGGGAGGGAGCCTGCTCGCCTAGCATGTATGAGGCTTTCTGTCGATCCCCAGTTCTATTGAGAGAAAACCCTTCCAGGGTAGTCAGAAAAGATCCTGTATCTTGATTACGGTGATGGGCATACACGTGTTCACAGCTTTCAATGCCCATCAAAGCTGTGCATTTAAAATGGGTAGACTGGCTGGCCACAGTGACATACACAAGTCTCCCCTGTCACTTGGGAGAATGAAGCAAGAGGATTTTGTTTTGTTTTCTTTTGTTTTGTTTGTTTTCTCTTGTCGCCTTGCTTTTCAACACAGGATCTTACTTACGTATCTCTGGTTGTCCTGAAGCTCACTACGTAGCAAGGCTAGCTCCAAACTCACAGAGATCTGCCTGCCTCTGCCTCCTGAATGCTGAGAATGAGGGGATGTATCACCACACCCAGATAAGAGGATTTCTTGGTACCAAGAGTTTATGGGCAACCTGGGTAATGTAGTAAGACTCTAGTTCTTTAAAAAGAAGACAAGCCTTGTCAGAGACAGGGGGGTGCCTAATAATTCTGGCCGACCTGGCCTACATAGAGACTTCTAGGACAGCCAGGGCTACACAAGCCAGACCCTGTCTCCAAGGCATGCTCGCATATAATCCGAGCACTTGAGAGATGGAAGCAGGAGAATCAGGAATTCAAGGTCCTTAACTACAAAGTGAGCTGAAGACCAGCCTGGTCTACATGAAACCGTGTCTCGAAAGAATAGAATGAAATAAACAAATAGAAAGATGAGTTTGCCCTAGCTTGTTAAATCTTAATAAAGAAGCTTTAAAGCAAAGCTTTCCCCTGGGAAGCAAGAAACACACAGTGCATCCTGTACACAGTTCTTACTGTAAGGGGAGTGTGAGAGCCCTCAAGTCATCTCAGAGGCACTTCTCTTATCTCTAGGCAATGCAGATTCCCCCAAGGGCCCAGCCTTTGAGAACCTCTGAGCGGGACCAGCTGAGCAGGGCTCACAATGCCCCATTCATTACGTCAGGGAAGTGTCCTCAGTCTTTGTGGAACACCTTTCTTAAGCAAGCTACACATTTCTTCACAGCCAGAGACTGTTTCTGTCCAGTGTTCATGGGGGCAATCTGACAGATAAGGAACCAAAACCCAAACGACAGAGAATAAACCTTGGGGTTTAGAGTACTTAACCTCAGGTAGGAAAAAGAGTGTTTGCAAAGACCTACCAGGATACTTCTTGCTCCCTGGGTATATGCCCACCCCAACTCCGCTCTCCTGTAGACTTAGGGTCCTGGGATGCCCTGGGGCTGGATATCCTCAGGTTCCATGTTCTCAGGGCCTGTAACCCCAGGACCTCCTTTCTACCCATCTTACTCTAGGAATCTGGCAGCCCTCACTGTGTAGAACCTTCCATCTGTGCCCCACTGCCACTGACCAGTCGATAACAGACTGTTTCAGGGGTGACAAAGACCTGTGTTAGAGGGTTCTTTCTAGTTAATATCCAGTGTGGCTCATCAGAAAACCTTAGAGGAATCCACAGGAAGATCATAACCCAGCAGTGTGTAGAGGCCAGGGTGGCGGGTGGATGCCCTGGCTAAAATGCTGTTATGTGAAACTCAGCCCTTTTGGAGAGGCAGCAAAGCACCACTTAGTAAATGA